GTATCCAGACAGCCAAATTTCCCAGAATCCCATGCCTCCTTACTTTCTGAATGAGCCTACCATGTGGAACCTTATCAAATGCCTTGCTAAAATCCATATACAGCACATCCACTGCTCTACCTTCATCGATGTGTTTTGTCACATCCTCAAAGAATTTAATAAGGCTTATGAGGCATGACCAGCCCCTCACAAATCCATGCTGACTATATCTAATCAAACTGTGCTTTTCTAAATAATCAAAAATACTATCTCTCAGAATCCCCTCCAATAATTTGCCCACCGCAGAAATAAGACTGACTGGTCTGTAATTCCTGGGATTATCCCTATTCCCTTTCTTGAACAAGGGAATGACATTTGCCACCTTCCAATCTTCTGGCACGACTCCAGTGGACAGCGAGGACGCAAAGATCACTGCCAAAAAGGCAGCAATCTCTTCCCTCGCTTCCCGTAGTAACCTTGGGTATATCCCGTCTGGCCGAGGGGACATATCTATTCTCATGTTTTTCAAAATTTCTAGCACATCCTCCTTCCTAACATCAACCTGTTTGAGCATATCTGCCTGTTTCACGCTGTCCTCACAAACGTCAAGGTTCCTCTCACTGGTGAATTCTGAAGCAAAGTATTCATTAAGGACCTCCCCCACCTCCTCTGACTCCGCACACAAATTCCCTCCACTGTCCCTGATTGGTCCTACCCTCAAAGAACAAAGAATAAAGAAAATTACAGCACAGGAACAGGCTCTTCGGCCCTCCAAGCCTGCGCCGATCCAGATCCTCTATCTAAACCTGTTGCCTATTTTCCAAGGATCTGTATCCCTCTGCTCCCTGCCCATTCATGTATCTGTCTAGATACATCTTAAATGACGCTATCATACCCGCCTCTACCACCTCCGCTGGCAATGCGTTCCAGGCACCCACCACCCTCTGCGTAAAGAACTTTCCACGCATATCTCCCTTAAAATTTTCCCCTCTCACCTTGAAATCGTGACCTCACTCTGGCCATCCTCTTGTTCCTCACGTAACTACAGAATGCCTTGGGGTTTTCCTTGATCCTACCCGCCAAGGTTTTCTCATACCGGCTTCTAACTCTCCTGAGTCCATTCTTCAGTTCCTTCCTAACTACCTTGTAGACCTCTAGAGCACTGTCCGATCCTTGCTTCCTCAACCTTAAGTAAGCTTCCTTCTTCCTCTTGACTAGGTGTTCAACATGTCTTGTCATCCAAGGTTCCTTCACCTTATCATCCCTTCCTTGCCTCAGTGGGAAAAACCTATCCAGTGCCTGTAGCAACTGTTCCCTTAACAACCTCCACATTTCTATCGTGCATTTCCCTGAGAACGTCTGATCCCAATTGGCACTCCGTAGTTCTTGCCTAATAGCATTGTAATTCCCCCTCCTCCAATTAAACACTTTGCCGTACCGTCTGCTGCTATCCCTCTCCATGACTAGAGTAAAAGTCAGGGAGTTGTGATCACTATCACCGAAATGCTGTCCCACCGAGAGATCTGACACCTGACCTGGTTCGTTGCCAAGCACCAAATCCAATATGGCCACCCCTCTAGCTGGCCTGTCTACATATTGAGTCAGAAATCCTTCCTGGACACGCCTGACAAAATCTGCTCCATCCAAACTATTTGCACTTAGGAGGTTCCAGTCTATATTAGGGAAGTTGAAGTCGCCCATGACAACAACCCTATTACTTCTGCACATTTCCAAAATCTGTCTCCCAATCTGTTCCTTAGTGTCTGTGTTGCTATTGGAGGATCTATAGAAAACTCCCAATAAAGTGACTGCTCCTTTCCTGTTTCTGACTTCCACCCATACTGACTCAGTGGAGAAACCCTCCTCCACGACCTTCCTTTCTGCAGCTGTGATACCATCCCTGATTAGCAATGCCACTCCCCCATCTCTTTTACCTCCCTCCCTATTTCTATTGAAACACCTACAACCCGGAACATCCAACAACCATTCCTGCCCCTGTGTTATCCAAGTCTTCGTAATGGCCACAACATTGTAGTTCTTATTCCATAAATATTAATTATTATGTATAACTATTCTTAGTCATTTGGTCATGAATTAAATATAGCCAATAAAATCAGTCTGTGCATAAATGCACTTGTCATGCTCATTTTCATTAATTATATCAGTCAACCTTAAATCTATACCTATTCTTGCACGTATGGGGGTTGGCGGATCAGAGTGTCCGGTAATAATAAGCTCTATCAATTGTTACCTTAATCAAGGTGCTTCATAGGAATGTGACTTGAAATAATTTAACACCAAGTCTTACAAGGAGATACTTAGACAAATGACTAAATGTCTGAGAAGATGGTGATTTAAGGAAAGACTTAAAGGAGGAAAGAGAGATAGCTAGTTGGATAGATTTAGAAAGAGTTCCAGAGTTTATCAAGCCTAGGTCTGGAACATCAAAAATGGGAAGCGAACATAAGATCAGAAGTTGAGGAAAACAGAGACCTTGGAGATTTTGTTGGACTGGAAGAGCTTCAGGAAATAAGGCAAAGACAGATGGATAACAAGAATTTTAAAATTGAGGTGTTTCCAGTCTGAGAATATAGGTGACTGAGCTGAAAGGTGGTCACTGAATTGGTCTTTTTTTTATATTCTTTCATAGATGTTGGGAGGAGTTTAAACTAATATGGCTGGGGGAAAGGACACAGAATATTGATGAAGTAGAGACATCATGCTACAGCAAAGGGAGCAAGTCAGAGTGAATTCTGCTCTGCTGAGTGTCAAGAGAGTGAGGCAAGGCCAGATGGTCTTTAATGCTGGCAGAAAGCAATTAGAAGAGCAAAAAGGAGACATGATAAAAGATTTGCAAACAGGACTAGGGAGAATCCTAAGCTATTTTGTAAATACATGAAAGGGAAGAGGTTAACCAGGAAAAGAGTGGGGTCCATTAGGGACCAAAAGAGCAATTGCATGTGAAGCCGCAAGATATTGAAAGGGTGTTAAATGAATACTTCACTTCAGTCTCCACTGTGGAAAAGGAAAACGTAGGTACGGCATTCAGGAAAAGGAACTTTGAGGAACTTGCACAGTTTGACATAAGAAATGGGGAGATATTGGAGATTCTGTTGGGCCTCTGGTGGAGAGGTGATAGCCTAGTGGTATTATAGTTGGACTATTAATCCAGAGACCCAGATAACATTCCGGGGACCCGGGCTGAAATCACACCACAGCGGATGGTGGAATTTGAATTCAGTCAAATATCTGGAATTAAGAATCTGATGATGACCATGAATCCACTGTCGATTGTCAGAAAAACCCATCTGGTTCACTAATGTCTTTTAAAGAGGGAAACTGCCGTCCTTACCTGGTCTGGCCTACATGTGACTCCAGAACCACAGCAATGCGGTTGACTCTAAACTGCCCTCTGGCCAATTATGGATGGGCAATTAATGCTGCCTAGCCAGCGACGCCCTCATCCCGTTAATGAATAAAAAAAAAATAGACAAATCCCCTGGCCCCGGATGAATTGCATCCCAGGCTACTGTGGGAGGTGAGGCAGGAAATTGCAGTGGCTCTGACCCAAATTCTTAATTCCTCTCTGACGACAGGGGAAATAAGGATGGCTGATATGGTTCCACTTTTCAAGAAGGTGGTAGATATAAGCCAGGAAATTACAGGTGAGTCTCACATCAGTGGTAGTGAAAATATTGGAGAAAACTCTGAAGGAGAAAATTAATATCCACTTGGAAAAGGATGGATGATTAATTAGGGATGGTCAACACAACTTTGTCAGAGGGAGGCTATATCTCACAAATTTGTTAGAATTTTTTGGAAATGTGATCAAACGTGTGGATGAGGGAAGTTCAGTTGATATAGATTATACAGATTTTAGCAAAGCTTTTGACAAGGTCCAACATGGGAGACTGATTAAGAAAGTTAAAGCACATGGAAAGGAGGTAGACCTGGCAAGATGGATCAGAAACTGGCTGAGTAATATGACACAAAGGGTAGTGGTAGAAGGCTGTTCAAGTGACTGCAGGCTGATATCCAGCCGTGTACCACAAGGATCAGTACTGGGACCCTCGCTGTTTGTTATATACAAAAATGATATGGATGAAAATGTCAGGGGAATGTTAAGCAAGTTTGGAGACAACACCAAAGTTGGTAGAGTGGTTATTAGTAACAAAGATGGTTGAAGGTTACAGGAAGATATAAATGGTTTGGTCAGATGGGCAGACCAGTGGCAGGATAGTATTTAAGTCTGATAAGAGTAATGTGAGGCTCTTTGGAAGAAGAAGCAAGATGAGGGTGTATTTAATAAATAAAAGGAAACTGAGTGGGTCAGAGGATCTTGGGGTAATTATTCACAGATCCCTGAAGTAGCTTACCTTCTTACTGTTAACGTCTTAAAGCAACGTGGCTGCAAGCTTTTAATTAGACTAGATTTCAAGCTGCTTCATTTGCATTTATCCTGTTTTCTGCAGTTGAGCTATAACTTCCAAAATGAAAATTACGTACTAAAATACATGAACCGTGAACTGGATAATTATATCGTCTCTACTGAAGCATTTCATGATTTTAAAGACCTTGATTATGTCACCCTTCAACCGTTCTACAAGAAAGAAAAGACCCAGCCTGTCAATCCTTTCCTGATATGGATGTCCTTGTGCTTCTGTTAACATCCTTGCAAATCTTCTCCAACTCTCTCCAGTACCACTACATCCTTTTATCATATAGTGCACATAGAAAAATCTAGTCCAATCAAGATTCTAGTGAGTCTATACAGCGTAGAGCTGGAGGAGTACAGCAGGTCAGGCAGCATCAGAGGAGCTGATGAAGGGTCTCAGCCTGAAACGTTGACTTTCCCGTTCCTCTGATGCTGCCTGACCTGCTGTGTTCCTCCAGCTCCACACTGTATTGACTCTGACTCCAATATCAACAGTTCTTTCTATCTCCAAGATTCCAGTGAATCTGACTGGAGTGTCAGACATGATACCTGACCCTAATGTTTAAAACCTCTTTCTAAATTTCAGACTCTATTACTCTTATCACAAAGGATGAAGCTGCAGACAGCACAGTGACTAATGATGAAGCCAAACAGGTAAACCTAATCACGTATAGTTAATTGACCAAAGAGAAGCTTGTAGATATTTAGATATTTTCTAACCAACTGTTCAGGGATGTTATTCCATGTTCCTGGAGCTGGTATGATTTGAACCTGGTCCAGAGAGAGAGACAAGACCACTGCAACACAAGATCTCAAAAGAAAGGCTTGCACCCCAGTCAGTTGCATACTTTCCATGTATTGCAAATCTGGGACCATTATTTACTATTTAAGAATACTTGATGTACTGAAATGACAAAATAATTTCTTAGAAAAATGGAAGGGCAGTTCAAAAAGTCTTCCCTTTCATGCAGCTGTAGTCCCCATTCCACCCTTCAAAAGACTGTCAGGTTAAATTACAGCCTTATGGCTTAGAAATAGGCCCTTTGGCCCAACATGTCCAGGCCTACCTACAAACACCAAACTATGCTAATCCCATTTATCTGCACTTGGTCCATAACTTATTATGCCCTGGCATTTTAAGTGCTCAGCCAGATGCTTCTTAAATGTTGTGAGAGTACTTGCATCCACCACCCTCTCACACGCCATGTTCAATATTTCTACTACCCTTTGGATAAAAAATTGTCCTCAGATCCCCTCTGAAACACTTAATCCTCAGCTTAAATTTATGCCGTCTAGTCTTAGGCACGTCTGCCTTGGGGAAGAGATTCTCACTATCTACCCTGCCTGTACTGTGGACACTTTTCCTACTATAGACCATAAGAAATAGAAACAGGAGGCACCTGAGCCTGCTCTACTGATGAATCCAATCACAGCTGATCCAATATTCCTCACATTCATTTTCCTGCCTTTTCTCTTTAATGCTAAATTCCCCTACTGATCAAAAATCTATCTCAGCCTTACATATACGCAAGGACTTTGACTCCAGAGTTCTCCATGGCCAGAATTCCAATTTAAGACGGTTATATATTAAGGCCATGATGTGGAGGTGCCAGTGTTGGACTGGAGTGGACAAGGTCAAAAATTATATGACACTAGGTTATAGTCCAACAGGTTTATTTGAAGACACAAGCTTTCGGAGTCTTGCTCCTTCTTCAGGTGTCAGTGAGAGACACAGAATTTATAAGCAAAAAATCAAAGGATCATAGAACTGACATGAATGTGTTGAACAAACCTAAGATGGTTGTTAAATCTTTAATCGGTTAGAAAAGATAAATATGCAAATTCCAGAATTTCTTTCAAGTCACTGTCTCGTGATAAAAGGGTGACATCCCAGGTCAGACAATGCATTTTCAGTGTGAACCTTTGTTTAGAACCTGAATGTGTATCAACTTGGAGTCAAACTTTTATTTCCAAAGTAGGAATTTATAAAATGCCACATTGTCTACAAATTGTGTGCTTTTTGAACAAAATAGAATGTATCCGCAATTACAAATCTGCAAATGCAAATTCACCCCATAGATTTGTGTGTGCGCACACATGCGCGCATGTGAATGAGAGAGGGTCTGTGTGAGTGTATAGTGTAGTGGGGTCACCTGTAGCGCAACATGAACCCAGGATCCCAGTAGAGGCCGTCCTCATAGGTACTGAATCTGGCTATTAACCTTTACTTGGCAACTCTGTGTTGTTGTGTATTCCAAAGTCAGCCTTGGAGGACGTTTACCTGAAGATCTGAGGTCGAATGTCCTTGACCGCTCAAGTGTTCCCCCACTTATTCCTATGCCCCCACTTCTCACTTTCAAACAACCGCCAAACCTTAAACAGACCATTGTTTGCAGGAGCCTTCAGGACAACATCGACCGCAACACCATACAACCTTGTCATGGCAACCTCTACAAGACATGTCAGATCATCAACATGGACACTACCATCACCCATGGGATTACCACCCACCACTCATTTGACTTGGCCAACGTTGTCTATCCCATACGCTGCAGTCAGTGTATCGCCCAGGCATAGTATATTGGCTAAACCATGCAGACACTACGACAACAGATAAATGGACACCACGCAATAGTTGTCAGACAAGGATGTTCCATCCCGTTAGGGGAGCACTTAAATGGTTAAGGATATTCAGCCTCAGATGTTCGGGTAAACGTCCTCCAAGGCGGACTTCGGGATACACAACAACGCAGAGTAACCGAGCAGAGGCTGATAGCCAGGTTTGGTACCTGTGAGGATGGCTGCAACCGGGATCTTGGATTCATGCCGCATTACACATGACTCCACCACACTATACACTCTCACACACGCACGCTACCACAGAACTCTCATACGTGCACTCACTCTCTTTCTCTCTCTCTCTGTCTATTTCACACACACACGCACACGCACACATCTATGGGGTGAATTTGCATTTGCAGATTTGTAATTGTAGATACATTCTATTTTGTTCAAAAAGCACACAATTTGTAGACAGTCAATGTGGCATTTTATAAATTCCTACTTTGGAAATAAAACCAGTCTGACTCCAAGTTGATACACACTCAGATTCAAAACAAGGCCTCACACCTAAAATGCATTGTCTGACCTGGGATGTCACAGCTGGTATGCTGAGGGAATTGATAAAACTTTTAGTTATCTCAGGGCAGTGACTTGAAAAAAATCCTGGAATTTGCATATTAATCCTTTCTAACTGATTGAAGATTTAATAGCCATCTTATGTTTCTTCACATTTGCATCAGTTCTATGACCCTTTGATATTTGGCTTAGAACATAGGACAGTACAGGCCCTTCAGCCCACGATGTTGTGCCGAACTTTTACCCTAATCCTAAGGTCTATCTAACCTCCACCCCTACCTTATCAATACTGTGTCTGATGCTACCTCTCACTGACACCTGAAGAAGGAGCAAGACTCTGAAAGCTTGTGTCTTCAAATAAACCTGGAGTTGTGTGATTTTTGACCTTCTATTAAGGCAGTTGATGTACCCAGAAATTTGGAATTCACAGGTGAAATAGATGTTGCTTTTACTTGGTGTGTCATTATGTCAGTAATCTGAAAGTATGGAGCAGCCTGCTGCCAATCCATTGGTCAGATGTAAGTCCTAAATTCACACAAAACAAATGGTCTTCAAATGGTCTTATGATGTCAGTTTTGTTTTCCTACAGCTGCTCCAGATCTGCTTATTAATTCTTTTTGTAAGTAAAGATATTTCTTTCTCATTTGCAGTTCCTAGCAGCAGAGGAGAAACCCATGGAAACACCAGCAGTGGCTGAAGACGATGGAGATGTTGATGATCTGGTTAGTTTTTGGAAAAGAATTGAAAATACAATGCCCATTGGTGCCTCCATTTTTTTTATCTTTATGGATATCAACGCAAACAGAAAGCTGCAGAACAGTGAATTGAAAGTCCTTGTACATGTATCACAAAAAGCTAGCATCCATTTTCAGCAGGAAACACGGAATGCAAATGAACTGTTGGCCTTTGATTCAAACGAAATAGGGAAGAAAATAGGGAAGTCTTACTAGACTTTACAAGGCACTAGTTAGACCACAGCTAAAATAAGATCTCTGAATCATAAAATACAGTAGAGGCCCTCAACCCACCAGGCCTGCACCACTGAAATACACTAAATCTACCTAATCCCATTTTCCAGCACTTGACCTAAAGCCATGTTATGACACTTAAACAATGTAATTCTAACAGGTTGTGAGGTTACCTGCTTCAGCTATCTTCCCAGACAGTGTATTCCAGACCCCCACTACCCTCTGGGTGAAAAGACTTTTACTCAAATCCCCTGGAAAGCCCCTGTCTTTGACCTTAACATTTTGCCCCCTTGTTATCAATCCTTCAACTAAGGAAAAGCCTGTACATACCCCTCATAATCTTATACACGTCTATCAGGTCACCTCCTCAACCTTCTCTGCTCCAAAGAAAACAGCTGAAGCTTATCCAAGGAGATAGCAATGACTGCTGATGCTGAACATCAGAGTCAATAAAATGTAGAGCTAGAGGAGCACAGCAGGTCAGACAGCATCCAAGCAGCAGGAAATTTGACATTTCTGGTCGGGCCCCTTCATCAGGACATTAGTGCTCCTCAGATGCTATGTGACCTGCTGTGCTCCTGAGGCATTGACTCTGAAGCTTAATCAACTTCTCTTTGTGGCTAAAATGCTCCATCCCAGGCAATATCCTGGTGAATCTCTTCTGAAATCCGTTCAATGCAATCATATCCTTCCAATAGTGCAGTGACCCAGGATTGCACACAGTGCTCCAGTTGTGACCTAACCAAAGTAATGTACAGCTCCAACATTACCTTTATGATCTTTGCCTTGACTGGTAAAGGCAAGTGTCCCATATACCTTCTTAACTACCTTACTACCTTGCCCTGAAGTCTTCAGGGATCTATGGATAAGCCCCCAAATCCCTCTGTTCCTGTGTGTCGTGTCATTCACTGAGTACTCCTTTGTCTTGTTACTTCTTCCAAAATGTATCACCTCACACGTATCAGGATTAAATTCCATCTGTTACTGACCAGCCCATCTGACCAATCCATTTATATCCTTTTTATTTACTATTCATTCACAGGATATGAGCATCACTGTCCAGGCAGTATTTCTTGTCCATCCAGAGGGCAGTTAAGAGGCAACCATGTTGCTTTGGGTCTGGAGTCACATGTCGGTCAGACCAGTTAAGGATCAATAGATTCATATAGTGCAGATAAGGTCCTTCAGCTTGTCGAGTCTGCACTGGCATAACAACCACTAAAAGTGCGTTAATCCCAATTTCCTGCCCTTATCCCATTCCTTGAATGTTATGATATTTGAAGTACTCATCCAAGTGTTTTTTAAAGTTTGCAAGGTTTCCAGCCTCCACTATCTTCCCAGGCAGTGCATTCCAGATTCCCACCACCCACTGAGTGAAAACGTTTTTTTTTCCCAAATCCACCACTGACTCTCCTGCCCCTTATCCTAAAACCAAGCCATCTTGTGATTGACTGCTCAGCCAAGGGGAACGGCTGCTCTTTGTTCACTCTGTTATAATCTTATATACCTCAATCATGTCCCTCCTCAGCCTTCTCTGCTCTAAAGAAAACAATCCAAGCCTTTCCAGTCTCTCCTTATAGCTCAATTTCTCCATCGTAGGCAAGATCCTAGTGAACCTCCTCTGTACCTGTCCAGTGCTGTCATAACCTTCCTGCAGTGAGGTGACCAGAACTGCACACAGTATTCCAATTGTGGTCTGACCATCCCGCTGTACAACTCCAACATTACCTCCTTACTCTTATACTCTATGCCACAAATGATGAAGCAAGTGTCTGTTCTTAACTATCTTATTCATGTGTTCTGCTGACTTCAGGGACCTGGTGAACCTTTTATATATTGATTCAAAAACTCCCTTGGATATGTTCCAAAAAATCTGCCCCCTCTAAACACTTAACACTATGGCTATCCTACTTTACGTTGGGAAAGCTAAATTCCCCTAGTATAATTACCTGATTATTACACTTACACACCTCTGTGAACTGTCCACATATTTACTCCTCTATGTCCCACTGACTCTTTACACTCCCAGTAAAGTAGTTGCCCCCTTGACATTTCCTAAGTTCTACCCACAGAGCCTCGTTTGAGCACCCTTCCAAGATATCCAAGAGGACCCTGTGGCTCAGAAGGGAATGGGGGAGAATAAGAGAGCAAGAGTGATAGGAGATTCAATGGTTAGGGGAACAGACAGGAGATTTTGTGGTCGCGAACGAGACTCCCAGATGGTATGTTGCCTCCCAGGTGCCAGTGTCAGGGATGCCTCAGATCAAGTCTACAGGTTTCTGAAGGGGGAGGGTGAGCAGCTAGAAGTCGTGGTACACATCAGTGCCAATGACATAACTAGGAAAATGGATAAGGACCTGAAAAATGAATATAGGGAGTTAAGTTGGAAGCTAAAAGGCAGGACGAGCAGAGTAGTAATCAGACTAGGAATAGAGAGCAAGTGCAGCTGAACATGTGGCTACAGAGCTGGTGTAGGAGGGAGGGCTTCAGATATGTGGATCATTGGGATACCTTCTGGGGAAGGTGGGACCTGAACTGGAGGGGCACCAAGATCCTGGGCGGGAGGTTTGCTAGAGCTCTTCGGACGGTTTAAACTAGTTTGGCACAGGGATGAGAACCGGAGCTACAGATCAGGAGATGGAGTAGCTGGTGTACAGGCAGATACAGCATGCAGAGAGTCTGTGAGGAGGGACAGACAGTTGATAGGGCAAAGTTGCAGTCAGTGTGACGGGTTGAAGTGTGTCTATTTCAACACAAGTGTCAGGAATAAGGATGATGAACTTAGAGCGTGGATCTGTATTTGGAGCTACGATGTTGTGGCCATTATGGAGACTTGGATATCACAGGGGCAGGAATGGTTGTTGGATGTTCCGGGGTTGAGATGTTGCAAAAGAATTAGGGAGGAAGGTAACAGAGGTGGGGGAATGGCATTGGTAATCAGGGATGGTATCACAGCAGCAGAAAGGGAGTTCATTGAGGAGGGTTTGTCTACTGAGTCAGTATGGGTGGAAATCAGAAACAGGAAAGGAGCAGTCACTTTATTGGGAGTTTTCTATAGACCCCCACAATAGCAACAGAGACACTAAGGAACAGATTGGGAGGCAGATTTTGGAAACGTGCAGAAGTAATAGGGTTGTTGTCATTGGCGAGTTCAACTTCCCAAATATATACTGGAACCTCCTTAGTGCAATAACTTGGATAGAGCAGATTCCTGACTCAGTATGTAGATAGGCCGATGAGAAGGGAGGCCATATTGGATTTGGTGCTTGGCAACGAACCAGGTTAAGTGTCAGATCTCTCGGTGATAGTGATCACAACTCCCTGACATTTTCTATAGTCATGGAGAGGGATATGAGCAGACGGTATGGGAAAATATTTGATTGGAGGAGGGGGAAATTACAATGCTATTAGGCAGGAGCTGTGGAGCAAAAATTGGGAACAGATGTTCTCAGTGAAATGCAGGACAGAAATATGAATCAGAGATAGTAGGAACTGCAGATGCTGGAGAATCCGAGACAACAAGGTGCAGGGCTGGATGAACACAGCAGGCCAAGCAGCATCACAGGAGCAGAGAGGCTGAC